ATAGCACAACATATCCTCTCACTCGGATATCTCACAATTATGTTAACAAATCTCAGGCGGGTACTCCAATTCCTCCGGAACATAACCATCTGGCATCTATCTCAAATCCTCATGGCAATATTTATGTTCTCTTATTATGCAATGATTTCAAAATGTACCTGTCGCCTTCTTAAACTTAAATAGCCAAAAGTGGTCCTCTAAACTTTGCATCCAACTTGGTCTGATGCCGCTCTTCATATTTCAATAGAACATATTCCCCAACTTTGTGTCTTATGACAGCCGATTTATTTTTATCGAATCTGGTCTTGTCGTAAATAGCCTGGTTATTTATGTTTTCTAATGCTCTATCTCTAATATCTGCTTTGTCGATCTCAATCTCTGTATTGCACGGTGTAATCAAACCCAGAGGACGAGCCTCTTTAGCAATTAGCAACTCTAGATGACTTGCTTCAGTTACACTACTAACTGTCCAATTCAACTTAAGCTGTACCTCGCCAAGAGCATCCTGCCAAGACTGGGGACTTGATTCAACCGCGGACAAAAGGTTTTTAAGAGTGCTCGCAACGCGCTCAGCTTGTTCATTCGCGCGACTTCCTCCTGTAGCTTTAAGATATAAATTTAACCTTCTGTGATGCACAAAACTCTGCAAATTTTCCACTGGTGAAACATCTACCTTAATCAGCAATTATTCTGGTCGGAACTCCAAGTAGAGAATAGATAAATTCATTCATTCAATTTTAAAGTATGAAACAAATAAACAAATTTAGTGAAAGCATCAAGTTGCATTATTACATATTCTTAATGTCATTCTTACCACTAAGCTTTTCTGTAATGTCGATATGCACCGTATGCCATGCAATGTTCGACTTTGGGATTGGGTGTAACTCAACTTGCATTTTAGCAGATGAACACCCCACTGATTTGCATATGATGCAACTATCGACAAATTTTCTAACATATTTATCCATCTTAGCAAATCAAAAATATTCGTAGGTCTTGTCAAGCGTCTTTTTCCATCCCAAGTGCATGATCGATTCGTGAATTTGATTTATCACGGACCTTCGAAATGGATGCGGTACCAATGGCAAATATCGTGTCCTTCCATTTCTTTGCATTTTGCGAAACAAAACGCCGTTTCTCATTTCATAAGTTTGTGCAACATCGTCAGTCAATTCACTACTGTTAACTTTCTTTATAATGTCGGTAATTTCAATCAAGCCAATCGCCCGAGATTTCAGCCAAATTTGCCCTTGATTTTTACTCGTCTCTTGTACATGATTTCGGAATACGGTTTTCTTCTCTATATTCTATCTTGAAATCAAAATACTGTAAATATGCCCACCAGCGGTGCACCCTTGGCGTTAGATCCATCTTTGTTCACGATGCCTTGGGAGAATTGCAATCTGTATACACAACGAATTCACAACCAAGCAAAGAATGCCGAAAATGCTTAACAGCTTTAACAACTGCCAATGTTTCCAACTAATAAGAATGGGATCTGGACTCAGCAGGGGAAGTTGTTTTACTAAAATATTCCACTATGTGAGGATTGATATTGATCCGATGCATTAATATAGCGCCATGACCATGAGAGCTTGCATCGGTGTGTAGTCCTATCGGATACTGTGGATCAAATATTATAAGCACTGGCTCATTTGTAAGAACCGCAATGATTTGTTTTCTAATGGCTTTCAATTCATCATTCCAACTTAAAGCGTTGCTGCTCGAAGTTTGTGAATATATCGGTTTCATAATCTGCGAGGCACGAATTTACGGATTTTATCTTAACAATTTCAAATTTATCAGAATTTAATGAAATTTCATATCCTTGATTAAGGATTTCTCTACCGATTACAATATCGTTGGTGAGATGCTTGTCTAATATAACATGGAATAGTATTTTGCCAGCTTCGCCAATACCCCGTATTATGACAACTTTGTTAACGAACTTGCCATCAAATTTATCGGCAACGCTGCTTCGAATAAGTGAACATTCTGCTCCGGAGTCGAAACAAATTGGAAAGGTCTCACCTTGGTGTATTACAACTTCCTTTGGCTCAGACACAGAGCACTGATTACATTTCTTCTCGGAAACCGCTCCAGATTTTGTTGCATTACTCGTGCAGAGATTTGCAAGATTTTCAAGTTGTCCATATCGGTAACAGGTTACACTCCCCAAGTCTCGCTGAGTTTTATTATGAGATCTAGAACGTTTGACTTTACAGTCCGCCCTTTTGTGTCCTGTTTTCTTGCTCCACAGAACCTTCAGCACTGCGCTTTTTGTCAAATGATAACGCCTTCAGTTCCATTTGAAGTTGACTTCTTGTTTCTATATTGGACGAGACCATCATGCGCTGCAAACGAGTGTCGAAATTTGCCATATGTGCAAGCACAGTCAATACAGCTATGTCCTCTGTACTCATGATTCGCCATTTTGAGGTTAGGGACGTGATCATGTGGCTGCATATAGTGCGAGGCACTCGCTGGGTTTTGGACGACTATGCAGCAGGTTCAAGAATGTAGCTGCTGAAGTTTCGTTAATTTTGAAACGCTGCACAAACAATTCTTTGAACTGTTCCCAATTGATGTCGGAATAACAGATCTGCGCAAGCCTCGGTGTAGCACTGCCCTGCATACAACTGCTCAACAACACAATATGCGCGCTTCCATCGTTTCCACATGTGAGATTGTGGGAATATGACAGTTAACTTTATAGCCTCGTCCGCCATAATCTTTTAGTTGCAGAGATTTGCAGTATGTCTTAATTAGTTACGTACATCCCTTAGTACGTCCCCGTCTATAGCCGGTACATAGTTTGAGTGAAAAAAGATTGTAATGTAAACTATAAAGCGAAAATCTAATAATAAGAATGTAAAAGAGGCGTTTTTAAGGCAGCCGAACGTTTTATTAATTTCTTCTCAAGATGATCGGGTTCGTACTGGAACCGGGTAAGAGTGGGCATGTCGCGGTGAGCTCCAATAAAATCTCCTTGATAAGGGATATTTTATCAGTAAAATTGATAGTGTGGCGAGTCTCTGATTCCTAAGGCTTTTCTGTCGTCTTGATGGTGTACGGACGCATTGACGTGATTTTATTTGCCTGGCTTGTAGAACATGTTTGCACTGGTCTCGTCGATACGAGCCTTCCAGCGAATAATCTTCGCGTTCGAGTTCGCTTCCGTAACCGCAAACGTGAGTGGTTTGTGGTCTGTGTTAACTACCCCATAGAGGTAGTGGTTAAAGAGTGGAAGTGGCTTTGCTATTACCGCAAAGTCGTTTACGAAAGAAAGTTCTGATTCAATTTACTGTTGACCGGCCAGAACCTTTTCCGGGTTTGTCTTAGTGTCGTTTTTTGTCACAATGAAACCGAGGTACTCTATGTTTTTTCGTTCAAAAATAGTGACACTTGAGCCACTTTCATGTTGGCTACAATGAGGCTCTTGATAACCAATCCAATGTTCGATGTGGTCTGACTCGCTTCTCGAAAACACGATGACATACATAATTGACATAAACATAGGAAATCAGCAAGATTTTTCATGGAGAACGTCATCTATGATGAAAATTCGTATTCCCATTTACGGAGAAAGATGTTTGTTCTTTATTTTGCTCCGCTAAAGATGTTTGGTTCTGTGATACTGAATCGTCTCCGAGACAGTGCCGATTGCTATCAAATTATTTTTAAGACAGCGCGCTTAGTAAAAAAAAATTGTCCTTGCCCACAACATTGGCAACAAACATTTCTGCATGATGTTGTTGGAACCATGAATAAAGTGAACGGCATACGGGGTATCCAGTAGGATTTCGTTAATAAGCCACTCGTGACTCAAAAATGTTATGTTCTTCCCCGCTACTTTGGGTCATATGTATAGCAGCAGGGACATTCCCCTAAAAATTGACATTATCGCTGTCGTACTCGGACTCCCCTTCAGCCTCGAGTTCAGTGAGTGCCTCGATTCTCGGGGCGGTTATGAGGCGTTCGATTTACTGTGACTCGCGTTAATTTTACTCGATCCGGGAGGCTTTTGGTAGTCAATTCTCCGTCTGAACTTTCGTGCGGAAGGGTCCACATCCATTGGCTAAGGCGGGCCGTTGTTACTGGGTTTCGTCTGTAGCTGATCGGACTGACGTTGACCCCGGTGATCGGCCTTGATTTCCTTTTTTTCTTCTTCTCCTAGGGAAATTAGCCGCATGGGCGTACTTGCCGTGATAAGCCCCAACTTCTTGAGCCTATACTGAGGTCAAATCAGGTCGTTAAGATTCCTACAAGACGTCTGTCATTTATGTATTAAACCAGAGATGAATACCAGAAGTGCATCTTCTCTTAATTTCTGGCAAAGGCATCGCCATTGCCTAGTCGTAAGACATAATTGCATTTTTGTAAAGCAAAAAAGGCGAAATACATCCGAACGTATGACAGGCCAGAGTTATCAGCGGGTGCATAACACAGCAGCATGTCTCTCAAGATCAACACCAAGACTGCAATAACGCGGCCATAGCTGCGGTAGACGAGGTTCAAGATGATTATGACTTAGTAAGTCGTAACGTTTTGCTTAATTTTTTAGGGAGAGCTCTCGGCTACTGTTCATCGAACTCTCTGTGAGCAAATTAAAAGTCCTAAGTCACAAGGTATCTATCAAGGTATCCGTCTTGGACCTTTATTTTTACTCTTTTTATAAATCATCTCCCCACGGTTATATCACATGCCCACGTTCATATGTATGCGAACGATGTGAAACTTGTTTTATCATACACCTTACATCCTTACATCCCTTACATCACTCTCGAATACAAGACGATTCAAATGCTATGCAACCTTTGACCAGTTTGATCAGTTGGATCAATCAGTAAGGGACAGATGGACTGACATAACTAGATCGACTCGACTATTGGTGCTGATCAAGAATATATATATTTTATGGGGTCGGAGATGCTTCCTTCTGGCTGTTACATACATTTGGATTTTGCACAAATACAATATACCCTTATACCCATTTTTAATGGGTTTAGGGTATAATAAATCAAAAAAAAAAATTTTTGTTTTCTCTATAAGACTCGAACTAGTAATGTGTTTCTTAACCGATCTTAATAAAAGTTTCAACAGTAGATCATATTGAACTATAGATTAATCGTGTATTCTCAAACAGACAATTGCATTTTAATTGTGGCTGAAATAGGTGGCCAACAGAAATTGTGAGCCAGCTTCCATGTCCGCAATAGAGTTGAGCTTGCACCTCGTGTGGGATAATATATTTCGCGCAGTTCCAAGAAGATTTGGCTGATATAACAAAGTGTCATCATCATAGGCCAAGTAATCGAACTGTAGTTCGTCGGCCTCGCCAACCCAGCCGGACTGCGGAGTACTACTTGTTAACCACTCCCAGTTTTAAAGTATGGGCGTCCTCAGCCCTGACTAATATTGCACATGCTTCCCGTTTTTTTTCCCATGCGCTCCCAGGGGAACATTGAGCCAGTGATGAACACGCAGATTCCTATTCCAACGAAGAATTCCATCGCTGCTGGGCTACTAAAGGTAGAAAACGGTCGGCCTTGGCCGGTGTAGAACTGGGAGGGTCAGCGATGTGGATGCGATTTCGCGGAATTTGCTTACGACATTGTCGAACTTGGAATTTAACAAGACTGTGTTGTCGAATATGACGAGAGAAGTGCCCGCCACAGCTAACTTTGGGCCATCGTCGACGCTCACCTTAAACGGGCGATTGTTGAAGATGATCATCCCGTCTTCGACAATCGTTATGGGTTCCAGATGGGAGCGCAGGTGTCGCGTGTCGCAAGTTCACTAAACGTTTTATATGTTGTAAGGATACAATTTGTGACTGCTAGGGTATTACCACCAACACATTCCGCTATGATTCAGTCCGACATTTGCAAGACTGTGATTATGTTCTTAGAGGAATATTTGGATTTGTTTGCATATAAACTTCACTTTAGGGTTTTTCCTAATGCGGTGCTATCGGTCTGTAAAATATGATTATAATATTACAAACCTGTCTCAAGCTAGTAACCACGACATCTGTGAGCTATTCTTTTAGAATAGACTTTCAATTAGCGTGATATGAAATGGTTGGATTTATTATCTTCGCTTTAGCTATAGTTACAAGTACACCATGTATTCGTACACCATGTGTTCGATATCTATTTCTAAGAGCTTTCGCATGTTACCCTGTGGAAACATGTCTGACATTCGCAGAGTCTCATGCACTAAACGTATGAAACCTGAGATAGTTGCTGAGTGCCAGAAAGGATAACTTCTCAAATTATTATAAAAACTAGACTTATGTCACCTCCGGCGTTTAGTTCAAGTTGACATTGTGGACCACCGTCCCTTTAATTAATACTCTGGTCCCTAAGCCTGACCCGCCTTTTTTACCCGCACAAGGGGGCTAGCTTATTGGCGAGTCTATTGGTAATGCTAAATAGGAACCATGTCTCCTAATTCAAATATTCTGTTCTGCCTTGTACGGGTTTCTTTACACTGCTGTACGTTTTGTGCCTTTTGAATGCAGGCTGGAATCCGTTTCTACCCTCTTTTTGAAAAAATATCTAGACGCATTTTTAATTCCACAATGCCGGGACGCAATCTGTGGAACTACGGCGAATTTAGAAAATTTGTCAACGCATGTCAGAAATAACTTCATATTGGTTAAGAAAATATCGATATGAATTTTATACCAGTGAAGTGGGATCGGTGTTTCGCCAAGCTCTTGTTTTAGAAAAAAAAGTAATCGGACACGACCTGTTTTACAAGCACTTTTAGAAGAAAAGGGCTTCTACAATTTTTCGATTTCTGCAAAAATGTATCGGCATTTCCGTACTGTTGGCCGTGTAGGTCAGGGACCGCTCACTGTGGATAGTGAATGCATCGGACGCGTAATACTGGTCTTCTAACGCGCTAATGTTTTGTTGCCACAAGGCATCAGCGGCATGATTTTTCTTGCCGGGCTTGTATAAAATCAAATCATTGAACTTATTAATATGAGCTTTTCAACTCTTAATTTTTGCGTTGGAGGTATTTTCTAAGACAGCCATTGTTAAGGGTTGGTAGTCAGTGTAAATGTTTATATCGTTTACTCCGTGTAGGTTATGTTTACCTAAGGCCCAAACGATAGCTAACTGCCCTCCCTCATTTGTTGCGTAATTTGTTTCGCTGTCCTTTAAAGTTCAAGATATCATAGTAATTATTTTGAACAAAAGGTTCTAGTCGGGAGCTTCTGACAAGGGGAATACATTGTACCCTCTTATTCCGACGCCAAAATGCAGTTCGCACAACGCGCTCGTTTGCAGTAATAAAGATAAATTTAAACGAGAAAGAAGGGCTATCTTCGGCACGCCAAAGATCTAATACCCTTGCAGACCCAACCTTTTTCATAATGCTCATAGTGCTTTGCCCCTATCTAAGAAGTAACGGGAAAATAGTAAATGCCGAGTTTAGTCAAGATATCTTGATAAACAAAATGTTTTTTTATACAACTTAATTTTCGACCGATCGTTCCTATGGCAGCTATATGATATAGTGGTCCGATCTTAATAGGATTTTGCATATATATGAAGAGTAAAGTAAAACTAATAAATGCCGAGATTGGTCAAGATATCTTGATAAACAAAATGTTTTTTCATACAAAAACTTAATTTTCGACCGATCGTTCCTATGACAGCTATATGATAAAGTGGTCCTATCATAATAGGATTTTGCATATATATGAGGAGCAAAGTAAAACTAATAAGTGCCGAGTTTGGTCAAGATATCTTGATAAACAAAATGTTTTTTCATACAAAAACTTAATTTTCGACCGATCGTTCCTATGGCAGACGGACATGGCTATATCGACTCGGCTGTTGATGCTGATTAAGAATATATATACTTTATGGGGTCGGAGATGTCTCCTTCTATGCGTTACACATTTCACGATTAATTCAAGTTGACATTGTGGAGCAGCGTCCGCTTAATTAATACTCTGGTCCCCAAGCCTGACCCGCCTTTTTTTCCTGCACAAGGGGGCTAGCTTATTTGCGAGTCTATTGTTAATGCTTAATGAGAACCATGTCTCCTAATTCGAATATTCTGTTCTGCCTTGCATGGTTTTCCCCTTACCGCTGAACGTTTTGTGCCTTTTGAGTGCAGACTCTAATCCGTTCCGACCTTCTTCGTAAAAAATTATCAAGATTCATCTTCAATTCTACTTTCTTTTTGTATACACCTTGCCAATTTTATAAGCGGGTTGCCAAATCGCTCCATCTATCCGGGACGCACACTGTGGAACTACGGGGAATTTAGAAAATTTGCCTACGCATGTCAGCAAATACTTCTTATCGGTTAAGAAAATATCGATATGGGTTCTTTCCCAGTGTGAAGTGGGATTGGTGTTTCGGCAAGCTCTTGTTTCTTTAGGCGCCTGTTATATATAGACCCTGCAGTTTGGAACACTTACTTGGCCATTTTTGGAAAAAAGTAATCGGATATGACCTGTTTTACATTCTCTTAAGTAGTTCTGGACAGCTCACTGTAGATCGTGGATGCATCGGACGCGTAATTCTGAGTCTTCTAACGCGCTAATGTTTTGTGGCAACAAGGCATCAGCGGCATGATTTTTCTTGCCGGGCTTGTACAAAAATAAATCATTGAATCAATACGAGCTTTTCAACTCTTAATTTTTGCGTTAGAGTTATTTTCTAATACAGCCATTGTTAAGGGTTGGTAGTCAGTGTAAATGTTTATATCGTTTACTCCGTGTAGGTTATGACGGAGTTTACCTAAGGCCCAAACGATAGCTAACTGCCCTCTCTCATTTGTTGCGTAATTTGTTTCGCTGTCCCTTATAGTTCTAGAAATTATATTTATTATTTTGCTCTTATCCCATAGTTTTAATACAGTTTGAGGTATGTGAACATGACGTTTTCAAAGGCAGAATGCGTGAACTTGTGGTTCATTGAATATCACCATTTTGTAAGATCGGTGTTTACTAGCTCAGCCGTTTTCAGCCTAGAGGATAACGAAGTCTCTCACAAAACTTCTGTGAAAACTAGCAAAGCCCAAAAATGATCTGAGCTCGAACAAACTTTTTAAATCAACATACTCTTTTATGGCCTTGACATTTTCCCGGTCCGTTCTTGTGCCTTCGTCAGTCATAAAAAAAAAGCTAGAAATCCAACTTCCTTTTTAGAAAACTTTGACTTTTCTTAAACCATCTCATGTTTGCATCGATCAGGATTTTTTAGGTTTTGAAAGAATATAATCACATAAACATAGCATGTCTTGCCGATTTGTTCGCTCAGAACGTCATCAATGGCCCTCTGAAATATCCTTCCTACGTTTTTAGTCTAAATGACAGTCGACAGAACTTATACTTCCCTCGGTTAACGGAGAATTAAGCCTCTTCTCAATCGCATTCTGCAGCATGATTTGATGCTAGCTAGCTTTGGCTCTCCCAAGATTTGCTAAAATCATGGAAATATTTGGCAGCGGGTACTTCTCTGGAATAGTATTTTCGTTTAGTTTACGAGAGTCATCTGTTTCCTTTTTGTCGACCAATATTAGATAATTATATGGCGAACGTGTCTCTCTGATAATGCTGTTCATTAAAATGTTTTTTATTTCATGAGTCACTCTCATTGAGTAGGGATAAAGCTTTGAATATTTGGGCTGGTTATGAGTTGTGCGGATTGTGGTCACTACAGATGTGTTATATGGCAGTATATTGTTAGAATCCGAGAAAGCTTTAGCATTGTGGCCTGTTTTATTTCTAGCTACATTTTTTTTTCTATATTATTTGCTGTTACTTTTCTAGCAAAAATCATAAAAATGAGGATCAAGATTTCTAAATCTATGGTATTGTATCTTTTGTTGCCACTCTGATAAAAGTTGCTACCATAGAGTAACAGGGTATCAGATTTCGAAATAGGCAAAATGTATTTAAAAAAAAATCTGAGGTTCTAGTCGGGAGTTCCCGACTAGGAAATACCCTGAACCCTGTTAATCCAGTTCGGGCAACGCGCTCATTTGTAGTAAAGATAAATTAAAAAAAAAGTTCCCTTGGCAACAGCCACACCAGCCATTATAAAAAAAATTTTCTCCGGTAGGGCTCGAACTTGGGACAGACCGCACCACTTGTTATACCTCTACTCAACAGCCACACCAATAATTAAGTATTATTGAGAAGAAAAAAAACGCATTAAAATAGCAGCACTGAAAACAATCGCAATGGCAAGCTGTTGATAGAATACGAAGCAAATGAATGTGGGTGAGTACATGTGTACATGTGCACATGTAATATGTTTTTCGAATTTGCACTCCATCCAACTGCGTAGTAAAATTTAAAAATGAAATTTTAGCTGTAGGTGTTCTTAGTACATGCGCAGCTCGACCTTGTTTCCGATAATCGATAACTTACTTCGTTTCTAAGCAATCAAAAAAAATTGGTTTCGAAATCCTGGTTTTTTGAGCAAGCTAGTTATTTAATAAGAGCTAGAGTCACCAAAAGTGATATGTTTACTCAGGCATATTATATATATGTCAAGTATCTTTAATTTTATACCTATCGCCACCTACACGATACTAATCCATAGATATAAATCAATTTAATTAATCAATTTATGCTACCCACCAATATAAGCCACAGAATAAATGCAATTGGCCTTTTATAATACACGAATATTCTATGGTTCAATAATTTGCAGAAAATTGCACCAAGATCAGTAAAGAAACACAGAAGTTATTAAATAAAATATGTTTTTGCTGGCCTCGAGTTTTAGGTAGCAAGCGCAAATCGCGGGAATTTCTGCATACACATACACATACGCATTTTTTGAAATTCTGTGAACAGCATTGTAATTGAGATTTTACTGTTTTCTGTGCAGTTGGTTTAATTAGATGTTTTCTCTAGGGGGAAACTACTTTTGTTTTGCGTAGAGTCGGCAGCAAGTAATGCGGTCAGTTGCCAGTTCAAGCCCTGCGAAGGGATTTTGTTTTTAATTTATCTTTTCGAGCGCGTAGTGCAAACTGCATTTGATGTTGGAAGAAGAGGGTTTAGGGTATCCCTTAGTCTGGATGTCCGGCTAGAATCTCTTACTTGTTTTAATTTGTTTCCATTACTGTTTAAGCAAACGAGCTCTTATCTCGGGCTGTATTTGGTGTTGGTAGAATAGGAATCAGTGTATCCAACAGTTGGGAACTCACAACTACAGTTTCTTACTTGTTTTTATTTTTAACTAAATTTGTTTCTGCGACTTGTTGTACATGCCTTGCAAATATATTGCCGGGTTTTCTTTTCTTATTTTAACAATAATTCAAAATGTTTACCAACCTGTTATTGTACACCAAAAATACTCCCAGACATTTGACCTTATTGAAGAATTCAACAGGGTCATCGCTAATAAATAATGAATGACTAATATCGACAATGTACTATTTAAAAAAGGGATAAATTATCGCTTTTTGTGGGTTGGTATACCGCAAGAGGATAGATCTGATCGCCATTGATGTAATAAGAACCAAATTTGTTTTCTTGGGATAATATGAAATATATTAAAGCTCGGCCTGGCCTAGTAGATGCAACCCGATGTGCGGGTGGCTAAGATCGAGGACCGCTTCCCTGTGTAGTGGCTGTCTTATAACCTCAACCACTCTACTTGCTCTTTAAGCCACTCATGAAACTACTGCTCGGCTAACTAAGATTCATAATTTATTATCTCCCCTGCCAACACTGGCCACCCTGGTAGCCGTTATTTCTTGTTTTAGCAAGGGCTAACGGTATGCAACATAGAATTAGGCCTATTAAGAAACAGATGATGTGATCAGGTTATACTTTAAAACTTTGTTATTCCTTTTTTTGTTGGGAAGTAGTAAATTTTAGTAGTACGGCAAAGCTTATCATTTACAATTGGAGCGTGGATAAACTACGATTATAAGCCCTAATGTTATAAGCCACACTAGGTAGCAAAATTAAATACTGTTTTACTTATGAAAAATAAATTGGAACCCGACAACAATTTCAAGGCTGTTTGGTTATAGAGGCTTTTAAAGAGATTGTTGGAAAGCCGAGTAGCAGCTAGCGCAAAAAGCAAGAATTCCTGGTTACTTGTGTACACATACAAATAGAAATACAATTCTGATTGTAATTTGTGCTGCTATTTTAGTTTCATTTTAATACGCTGAAGTCATTGAAAATTTTAGAGGTAGAAGGCATCTTCGACACCATTAAGTATATATATTCTTAATTAACACTATTGGCGGGTCAATCTGTTCTAAGCTTTTTTCAAGCAATAGATGCAAACCGATAACGAAATCCTGAATTGAGAAAATCTTTTAGGTCATAATAGCTAGAGTCTCCAAATTTAATATTTATCTTCATTTTTTTTTACTATAGCCTTTATGCTTATGTTTTGTCAGCTCATATGCAACAAGGTCTTAAATGCTGCCGTTGTGTACCCGGTGACACCGCCAATGGCATCAGCAATTTACTGTTGTCTCGTTGGAGACATGTTGGGACTCGGGCATGCACATTTTATGCTACCAATTTGCTGATTTTACGCTTCTCTTGTCTCCTTCTCAAATACCGTTTGAGGAGGGCAAGGCCTCTGACGATATCACCGCTTATTAGCGCTTGGAAAAATACCCCTTAGGTACGGAGTTCGTTAACGCGTCGGCCTTAACCTCCTGTGTAAACTCAAATTATTGCAGGAATGGTATAGTCAGATAATCGTTTTTGCCGGGTATGCTTAATAAGGGGGTCGTCACTACTCCGTGACTCGACTCCGTACGTTTACGAACTCAATAGCGTTGGTAAGGGCGAAACAGTGACAGAGGGGGCTCACCAACCAAAACATATCTCCAATCTTTCTGATCCAAAATAACCGGGCTTATGTGATGATGATGATGATAAATTATGAATAAAAACACCAAAATGGCCTATTTTAGATTGACCTTGTGGACACCCTCCACTCCCTGTTTAATTAGGATTAATGTTCCCAGATCGGTTTTTACACTTACATCGACGCATAAAGTGCTAGCTTATTACCGAATCTTTTATTGGTCTCGATCAAAACTCGTGGACTTCGAAGACCCTGTCTGGTCTTTTTGATTACAGAGACTTACCCTTTAAAAACTGATGAGGTTAGTCGGACTCGTGGAATGCTTCCTTACTAGTGCAAGGAGCGATGTGGTCTACCCTTTGCCGTCCTTTTGGAAGCTTTCCCATTTCTCGGGACTTATAAAATACCTTCATGTAGGCAACGGGGGCTCTGCGTACTTAGGGTTTTTACCCGCCTCCAGGCAGGTGGCTAAACAGGTAACATACGTCACCCTTGAATTGAAAAAAAGAAAACGGAAAAATACTTTAAATGCTTTAAGAGATAGATAACAAAACTTGGTGTGTATATCTTAACATATTTTACCTTTTGGTTACCTCTACCCTTCCCCGCAAAACTGATAAAAACTTCGTTTCAAAGCTAGAGCCATTTGCAAAGCGCACATACAGTGAGGATTTAATAAGGAACAAAATATTATTATTGGTGATATTCAAGGCAAGGTATCAGGTTAACAGGAGGACATATTCCAAGATAGCTAGAAGCAGAATCTTGGCAAGGGTTCTTCCTACCTGGAATGCAGACTTTTTGTAGTCTAGAATAGACAATTTTAAAAAATGTCATCAATGTAAACGCTACTTGAACGCTACTACCGCATTTCGCGGTAAACGATTAACGCCGTGGGCGACTTCGCCGGAGCTTGATGCTGCTCATGGAGCAGGACTCAACTTGTACTGGGAACGGAATATAAAAATTCAATTACAAATAATTTGTGCAAATATTAAAAAATAAAGAATATAACATCAACTGAGCATCATCATCAAACTGTAGGAACAATAGAAAGAAGCCACAGAACATTTAACGAATATATACGATCCTATATATCAGCAAATAAAACTGATTGGACGTATGGGTTCAATATTTTGTTTACTGCTTCAATACAACCCCCTCTATGGCACATAATTATTGTCCATATGAGTTAGTATTTGGTAAGACTAATAATATACCAAAGTATTTTAACAGCATAAGTAATATAGAGCCTCTATATAACATAGACGACTACGCTAAAGACTGTAGGTATGGATTAGAAGTAACATTCAAAAGAGCAAGAAATATTCTCGAATTAAATAAACAAAAAAATAAGGAATTATATGATTTAAAAACTAGGAACATAACTCTATCAATAGAAAATAAAGTTTTACTAAAAAATGAAGTAGACCATAAGCTAGTTATTAAATACACAGGGCCCTATAGAGTTAAAAAAAATAGAAGATAATGATAATATAGCTATTTCCGGAAATAAGAGTAAAAAACAAACAGTTCATAAAGATAGGTTAAAAATCTTTAATTTTTAAAAGACACACACAAAAAATAAAAATGAATTATACAAGGTATGCAAAGATATATATATATTCAGCAACACATTGTTGCAGTACACAAACAAAACCTTTTCAAGTGAGCGTGTAATATGATCACCCGCTTATGAGCTACGCTAAGTCAGCAGTCCCACGCTGCCCATTCGTAGCACATATATGCATACATGCAAATATGTACATAAGACTCTCTCTCTCCCGGCGTAACCGGCAGCGCAGCTATGCGGTCTTAGCCATGAGAATATATTGAATAAAACATTTAAAAAACTAAAGTCAAACGGCACAGACGTGCCCGTGTGTTGAACTATTTGAATCGATGACATTTACCATTACACATGATCTATCATTGCATCCCATAGCACTTATGAAGGTGGACCTGTACCGTATTTTGGAGGTATGCAAAAAACTCCACAAAAGATCCCCATTCGTCCACATCAATTATCACTGGCTGAACAGAAAGTTATTTAATGGGAAGAGTCTCATATTGCACAAGAATGGCAGAGCCGAGCGCCTTCTATGAAAGGCCATATAACATTTAACATGAGCAGCAGGGTATTCCATGGAAATGGTCACCAATAAACCACGCCTCTTGGATAAGAGTCATGATGATTACGTCCACGGTTATCACTTTCCACAGAGTGGCCTACACCCCTTTGGCAAGGTTCGCCCTTCGCACCTTCACCCTTTGTAGAACGAGGCATGAGTTTCTCCAGTCGGGAAAACACATCAAACATTATTTCCCGAATATGACTGTTGTTAGAGAAGTGTATCGTCTAACTAACGGATATGACCTGTTTTACATTCTCTTAAGTAGTTCTGGACAGCTCACTGTAGATCGTGGATGCATCGGACGCGTAATTCTGAGTCTTCTAACGCGCTAATGTTTTGTGGCAACAAGGCATCAGCGGCATGATTTTTCTTGCCGGGCTTGTACAAAAATAAATCATTGAATCAATACGAGCTTTTCAACTCTTAATTTTTGCGTTAGAGTTATTTTCTAATACAGCCATTGTTAAGGGTTGGTAGTCAGTGTAAATGTTTATATCGTTTACTCCGTGTAGGTTATGACGGAGTTTACCTAAGGCCCAAACGATAGCTAACTGCCCTCTCTCATTTGTTGCGTAATTTGTTTCGCTGTCCCTTATAGTTCTAGAAATTATATTTATTATTTTGCTCTTATCCCATAGTTTTAATACAGTTTGAGGTATGTGAACATGACGTTTTCAAAGGCAGAATGCGTGAACTTGTGGTTCATTGAATATCACCATTTTGTAAGATCGGTGTTTACTAGCTCAGCCGTTTTCAGCCTAGAGGATAACGAAGTCTCTCACAAAACTTCTGTGAAAACTAGCAAAGCCCAAAAATGATCTGAGCTCGAACAAACTTTTTAAATCAACATACTCTTTTATGGCCTTGACATTTTCCCGGTCCGTTCTTGTGCCTTCGTCAGTCATAAAAAAAAAGCTAGAAATCCAACTTCCTTTTTAGAAAACTTTGACTTTTCTTAAACCATCTCATGTTTGCATCGATCAGGATTTTTTAGGTTTTGAAAGAATATAATCACATAAACATAGCATGTCTTGCCGATTTGTTCGCTCAGAACGTCATCAATGGCCCTCTGAAATATCCTTCCTACGTTTTTAGTCTAAATGACAGTCGACAGAACTTATACTTCCCTCGGTTAACGGAGAATTAAGCCTCTTCTCAATCGCATTCTGCAGCATGATTTGATGCTAGCTAGCTTTGGCTCTCCCAAGATTTGCTAAAATCATGGAAATATCTGGCAGCGGGTACTTCTCTGGAATAGTATTTTCGTTTAGTTTACGAGAGTCATCTGTTTCCTTTTTGTCGACCAATATTAGATAATTATATGGCGAACGTGTCTCTCTGATAATGCTGTTCATTAAAATGTTTTTTATTTCATGAGTCACTCTCATTGAGTAGGGATAAAGCTTTGAATATTTGGGCTGGTTATGAGTTGTGCGGATTGTGGTCACTACAGATGTGTTATATGGCAGTATATTGTTAGAATCCGAGAAAGCTTTAGCATTGTGGCCTGTTTTATTTCTAGCTACATTTTTTTTTCTATATTATTTGCTGTTACTTTTCTAGCAAAAATCATAAAAATGAGGATCAAGATTTCTAAATCTATGGTATTGTATCTTTTGTTGCCACTCTGATAAAAGTTGCTACCATAGAGTAACAGGGTATCAGATTTCGAAATAGGCAAAATGTATTTAAAAAAAAATCTGAGGTTCTAGTCGGGAGTTCCCGACTAGGAAATACCCTGAACCCTGTTAATCCAGTTCGGGCAACGCGCTCATTTGTAGTAAAGATAAATTAAAAAAAAAGTTCCCTTGGCAACAGCCACACCAGCCATTATAAAAAAAATTTTCTCCGGTAGGGCTCGAACTTGGGACAGACCGCACCACTTGTTATACCTCTACTCAACAGCCACACCAATAATTAAGTATTATTGAGAAGAAAAAAAACGCATTAAAATAGCAGCACTGAAAACAATCGCAATGGCAAGCTGTTGATAGAATACGAAGCAAATGAATGTGGGTGAGTACATGTGTACATGTGCACATGTAATATGTTTTTCGAATTTGCACTCCATCCAACTGCGTAGTAAAATTTAAAAATGAAATTTTAGCTGTAGGTGTTCTTAGTACATGCGCAGCTCGACCTTGTTTCCGATAATCGATAACTTACTTCGTTTCTAAGCAATCAAAAAAAATTGGTTTCGAAATCCTGGTTTTTTGAGCAAGCTAGTTATTTAATAAGAGCTAGAGTCACCAAAAGTGATATGTTTACTCAGGCATATTATATATATGTCAAGTATCTTTAATTTTATACCTATCGCCACCTACACGATACTAATCCATAGATATAAATCAATTTAATTAATCAATTTATGCTACCCACCAATATAAGCCACAGAATAAATGCAATTGGCCTTTTATAATACACGAATATTCTATGGTTCAATAATTTGCAGAAAATTGCACCAAGATCAGTAAAGAAACACAGAAGTTATTAAATAAAATATGTTTTTGCTGGCCTCGAGTTTTAGGTAGCAAGCGCAAATCGCGGGAATTTCTGCATACACATACACATACGCATTTTTTGAAATTCTGTGAACAGCATTGTAATTGAGATTTTACTGTTTTCTGTGCAGTTGGTTTAATCGGCAGCAAGTAATGCGGTCAGTTGCCAGTTCAAGCCCTGCGAAGGGATTTTGTTTTTAATTTATCTTTTCGAGCGCGTAGTGCAAACTGCATTTGATGTTGGAAGAAGAGGGTTTAGGGTATCCCTTAGTCTGGATGTCCGGCTAGAATCTCTTACTTGTTTTAATTTGTTTCCATTACTGTTTAAGCAAACGAGCTCTTTCTCGGGCTGTATTTGGTGTTGGTAGAATAGGAATCAGTGTATCCAACAGTTGGGAACTCACAACTACAGTTTCTTACTTGTTTTTATTTTTAACTAAATTTGTTTCTGCGACTTGTTGTACATGCCTTGCAAATATATTGCCGGGTTTTCTTTTCTTATTTTAACAATAATTCAAAATGTTTACCAACCTGTTATTGTACACCAAAAATACTCCCAGACATTTGACCTTATTGAAGAATTCAACAGGGTCATCGCTAATAAATAATGAATGACTAATATCGACAATGTACTATTTAAAAAAGGGATAAATTATCGCTTTTTGTGGGTTGGTATACCGCAAGAGGATAGATCTGATCGCCATTGATGTAATAAGAACCAAATTTGTTTTCTTGGGATAATATGAAATATATTAAAGCTCGGCCTGGCCTAGTAGATGCAACCCGATGTGCGGGTGGCTAAGATCGAGGACCGCTTCCCTGTGTAGTGGCTGTCTTATAACCTCAACCACTCTACTTGCTCTTTAAGCCACTCATGAAACTACTGCTCGGCTAACTAAGATTCATAATTTATTATCTCCCCTGCCAACACTGGCCACCCTGGTAGCCGTTATTTCTTGTTTTAGCAAGGATTAACGGTATGCAACATAGAATTAGGCCTATTAAGAAACAGATGATGTGATCAGGTTATACTTTAAAACTTTGTTATTCCTTTTTTTGTTGGGAAGTAGTAAATTTTAGTAGTACGGCAAAGCTTATCATTTACAATTGGAGCGTGGATAAACTACGATTATAAGCCCTAATGTTATAAGCCACACTAGGTAGCAAAATTAAATACTGTTTTACTTATGAAAAATAAATTGGAACCCGACAACAATTTCAAGGCTGTTTGGTTATAGATTGTTGGAAAGCCGAGTAGCAGCTAGCGCAAAAAGCAAGAATTCCTGGTTACTTGTGTACACATACAAATAGAAATACAATTCTGATTGTAATTTGTGCTGCTATTTTAGTTTCATTTTAATACGCTGAAGTCATTGAAAATTTTAGAGGTAGAAGGCATCTTCGACACCATTAAGTATATATATTCTTAATTAACACTATTGGCGGGTCAATCTGTTCTAAGCTTTTTTCAAGCAATAGATGCAAACCGATAACGAAATCCTGAATTGAGAAAATCTTTTAGGTCATAATAGCTAGAGTCTCCAAATTTAATATTTATCTTCATTTTTTTTTACTATAGCCTTTATGCTTATGTTTTGTCAGCTCATATGCAACAAGGTCTTAAATGCTGCCGTTGTGTACCCGGTGACACCGCCAATGGCATCAGCAATTTACTGTTGTCTCGTTGGAGACATGTTGGGACTCGGGCATGCACATTTTATGCTACCAATTTGCTGATTTTACGCTTCTCTTGTCTCCTTCTCAAATACCGTTTGAGGAGGGCAAGGCCTCTGACGATATCACCGCTTATTAGCGCTTGGAAAAATACCCCTTAGGTACGGAGTTCGTTAACGCGTCGGCCTTAACCTCCTGTGTAAACTCAAATTATTGCAGGAATGGTATAGTCAGATAATCGTTTTTGCCGGGTATGCTTAATAAGGGGGTCGTCACTACTCCGTGACTCGACTCCGTACGTTGTTACTATTTACGAACTCAATACCGTTGGTAAGGGCGAAACAGTGACGGAGGGGGCTCACCAACCAAAACATATCTCCAATCTTTCTGATCCAAAATAACCGGGCTTATGTGATGATGATGATGATAAATTATGAATAAAAACACCAAAATGGCCTATTTTAGATTGACCTTGTGGACACCCTCCACTCCCTGTTTAATTAGGATTAATGTTCCCAGATCGGTTTTTACACTTACATCGACGCATAAAGTGCTAGCTTATTACCGAATCTTTTATTGGTCTCGATCAAAACTCGTGGACTTCGAAGACCCTGTCTGGTCTTTTTGATTACAGAGACTTACCCTTTAAAAACTGATGAGGTTAGTCGGACTCGTGGAATGCTTCCTTACTAGTGCAAGGAGCGATGTGGTCTACCCTTTGCCGTCCTTTTGGAAGCTTTCCCATTTCTCGGGACTTATAAAATACCTTCATGTAGGCAACGGGGGCTCTGCGTACTTAGGGTTTTTACCCGCCTCCAGGCAGGTGGCTAAACAGGTAACATACGTCACCCTTGAATTGAAAAAAAGAAAACGGAAAAATACTTTAAATGCTTTAAGAGACAGATAACAAAACTTGGTGTGTATATCTTAACATATTTTACCTTTTGGTTACCTCTACCCTTCCCCGCAAAACTGATAAGAACTTCGTTTCAAAGCTAGAGCCATTTGCAAAGCGCACATACAGTGAGGATTTAATAAGGAACAAAATATTATTATTGGTGATATTCAAGGCAAGGTATCAGGTTAACAGGAGGACATATTCCAAGATAGCTAGAAGCAGAATCTTGGCAAGGGTTCTTCCTACCTGGAATGCAGACTTTTTGTAGTCTAGAATAGACAATTTTAAAAAATGTCATCAATGTAAACGCTACTTGAACGCTACTACCGCATTTCGCGGTAAACGATTAACGCCGTGGGCGACTTCGCCGGAGCTTGATGCTGCTCATGGAGCAGGACTCAACTTGTACTGGGAACGGAATATAAAAATTCAATTACAAATAATTTGTGCAAATATTAAAAAATAAAGAATATAACATCAACTGAGCATCATCATCAAACTGTAGGAACAATAGAAAGAAGCCACAGAACATTTAACGAATATATACGATCCTATATATCAGCAAATAAAACTGATTGGACGTATGGGTTCAATATTTTGTTTACTGCTTCAATACAACCCCCTCTATGGCACATAATTATTGTCCATATGAGTTAGTATTTGGTAAGACTAATAATCTACCAAAGTATTTTAACAGCATAAGTAATATAGAGCCTCTATATAACATAGACGACTACGCTAAAGACTGTAGGTATGGATTAGAAGTAACATTCAAAAGAGCAAGAAATATTCTCGAATTAAATAAACAAAAAAATAAGGAATTATATGATTTAAAAACTAGGAACATAACTCTATCAATAGAAAATAAAGTTTTACTAAAAAATGAAGTAGGCCATAAGCTAGTTATTAAATACACAGGGCCCTATAGAGTTAAAAAAATAGAAGATAATGATAATATAGCTATTTCCGGAAATAAGAGTAAAAAACAAACAGTTCATAAAGATAGGTTAAAAATCTTTAATTTTTAAAAGACACACACAAAAAATAAAAATGAATTATACAAGGTATGCAAAGATATATATATATTCAGCAACACATTGTTGCAGTACACAAACAAAACCTTTTCAAGTGAGCGTGTAATATGATCACCCGCTTATGAGCTACGCTAAGTCAGCAGTCCCACGCTGCCCATTCGTAGCACATATATGCATACATGCAAATATGTACATAAGACTCTCTCTCTCCCGGCGTAACCGGCAGCGCAGCTATGCGGTCTTAGCCATGAGAATATATTGAATAAAACATTTAAAAAACTAAAGTCAAACGGCACAGACGTGCCCGTGTGTTGAACTATTTGAATCGATGACATTTACCATTACACATGATCTATCATTGCATCCCATAGCACTTATGAAGGTGGACCTGTACCGTATTTTGGAGGTATGCAAAAAACTCCACAAAAGATCCCCATTCGTCCACATCAATTATCACTGGCTGAACAGAAAGTTATTTAATGGGAAGAGTCTCATATTGCACAAGAATGGCAGAGCCGAGCGCCTTATATGAAAGGCCATATAACATTTAACATGAGCAGCAGGGTATTCCATGGAAATGGTCACCAATAAACCACGCCTCTTGGATAAGAGTCATGATGATTACGTCCACGGTTATCACTTTCCACAGAGTGGCCTACACCCCTTTGGCAAGGTTCGCCCTTCGCACCTTCACCCTTTGTAGAACGAGGCATGAGTTTCTCAAGTCGGGAAAACACATCAAACATTATTTCCCGAATATGACTGTTGTTAGAGAAGTGTATCGTCTAACTAACGGATATGACCTGTTTTACATTCTCTTAAGTAGTTCTGGACAGCTCACTGTAGATCGTGGATGCATCGGACGCGTAATTCTGAGTCTTCTAACGCGCTAATGTTTTGTGGCAACAAGGCATCAGCGGCATGATTTTTCTTGCCGGGCTTGTACAAAAATAAATCATTGAATCAATACGAGCTTTTCAACTCTTAATTTTTGCGTTAGAGTTATTTTCTAATACAGCCATTGTTAAGGGTTGGTAGTCAGTGTAAATGTTTATATCGTTTACTCCGTGTAGGTTATGACGGAGTTTACCTAAGGCCCAAACGATAGCTAACTGCCCTCTCTCATTTGTTGCGTAATTTGTTTCGCTGTCCCTTATAGTTCTAGAAATTATATTTATTATTTTGCTCTTATCCCATAGTTTTAATACAGTTTGAGGTATGTGAACATGACGTTTTCAAAGGCAGAATGCGTGAACTTGTGGTTCATTGAATATCACCATTTTGTAAGATCGGTGTTTACTAGCTCAGCCGTTTTCAGCCTAGAGGATAACGAAGTCTCTCACAAAACTTCTGTGAAAACTAGCAAAGCCCAAAAATGATCTGAGCTCGAACAAACTTTTTAAATCAACATACTCTTTTATGGCCTTGACATTTTCCCGGTCCGTTCTTGTGCCTTCGTCAGTCATAAAAAAAAAGCTAGAAATCCAACTTCCTTTTTAGAAAACTTTGACTTTTCTTAAACCATCTCATGTTTGCATCGATCAGGATTTTTTAGGTTTTGAAAGAATATAATCACATAAACATAGCATGTCTTGCCGATTTGTTCGCTCAGAACGTCATCAATGGCCCTCTGAAATATCCTTCCTACGTTTTTAGTCTAAATGACAGTCGACAGAACTTATACTTCCCTCGGTTAACGGAGAATTAAGCCTCTTCTCAATCGCATTCTGCAGCATGATTTGATGCTAGCTAGCTTTGGCTCTCCCAAGATTTGCTAAAATCATGGAAATATCTGGCAGCGGGTACTTCTCTGGAATAGTATTTTCGTTTAGTTTACGAGAGTCATCTGTTTCCTTTTTGTCGACCAATATTAGATAATTATATGGCGAACGTGTCTCTCTGATAATGCTGTTCATTAAAATGTTTTTTATTTCATGAGTCACTCTCATTGAGTAGGGATAAAGCTTTGAATATTTGGGCTGGTTATGAGTTGTGCGGATTGTGGTCACTACAGATGTGTTATATGGCAGTATATTGTTAGAATCCGAGAAAGCTTTAGCATTGTGGCCTGTTTTATTTCTAGCTACATTTTTTTTTCTATATTATTTGCTGTTACTTTTCTAGCAAAAATCATAAAAATGAGGATCAAGATTTCTAAATCTATGGTATTGTATCTTTTGTTGCCACTCTGATAAAAGTTGCTACCATAGAGTAACAGGGTATCAGATTTCGAAATAGGCAAAATGTATTTAAAAAAAATCTGAGGTTCTAGTCGGGAGTTCCCGACTAGGAAATACCCTGAACCCTGTTAATCCAGTTCGGGCAACGCGCTCATTTGTAGTAAAGATAAATTAAAAAAAAAGTTCCCTTGGCAACAGCCACACCAGCCATTATAAAAAAAATTTTCTCCGGTAGGGCTCGAACTTGGGACAGACCGCACCACTTGTTATACCTCTACTCAACAGCCACACCAATAATTAAGTATTATTGAGAAGAAAAAAAACGCATTAAAATAGCAGCACTGAAAACAATCGCAATGGCAAGCTGTTGATAGAATACGAAGCAAATGAATGTGGGTGAGTACATGTGTACATGTGCACATGTAATATGTTTTTCGAATTTGCACTCCATCCAACTGCGTAGTAAAATTTAAAAATGAAATTTTAGCTGTAGGTGTTCTTAGTACATGCGCAGCTCGACCTTGTTTCCGATAATCGATAACTTACTTCGTTTCTAAGCAATCAAAAAAAATTGGTTTCGAAATCCTGGTTTTTTGAGCAAGCTAGTTATTTAATAAGAGCTAGAGTCACCAAAAGTGATATGTTTACTCAGGCATATTATATATATGTCAAGTATCTTTAATTTTATACCTATCGCCACCTACACGATACTAATCCATAGATATAAATCAATTTAATTAATCAATTTATGCTACCCACCAATATAAGCCACAGAATAAATGCAATTGGCCTTTTATAATACACGAATATTCTATGGTTCAATAATTTGCAGAAAATTGCACCAAGATCAGTAAAGAAACACAGAAGTTATTAAATAAAATATGTTTTTGCTGGCCTCGAGTTTTAGGTAGCAAGCGCAAATCGCGGGAATTTCTGCATACACATACACATACGCATTTTTTGAAATTCTGTGAACAGCATTGTAATTGAGATTTTACTGTTTTCTGTGCAGTTGGTTTAATCGGCAGCAAGTAATGCGGTCAGTTGCCAGTTCAAGCCCTGCGAAGGGATTTTGTTTTTAATTTATCTTTTCGAGCGCGTAGTGCAAACTGCATTTGATGTTGGAAGAAGAGGGTTTAGGGTATCCCTTAGTCTGGATGTCCGGCTAGAATCTCTTACTTGTTTTAATTTGTTTCCATTACTGTTTAAGCAAACGAGCTCTTTCTCGGGCTGTATTTGGTGTTGGTAGAATAGGAATTAGTGTATCCAACAGTTGGGAACTCACAACTACAGTTTCTTACTTGTTTTTATTTTTAACTAAATTTGTTTCTGCGACTTGTTGTACATGCCTTGCAAATATATTGCCGGGTTTTCTTTTCTTATTTTAACAATAATTCAAAATGTTTACCAACCTGTTATTGTACACCAAAAATACTCCCAGACATTTGACCTTATTGAAGAATTCAACAGGGTCATCGCTAATAAATAATGAATGACTAATATCGACAATGTACTATTTAAAAAAGGGATAAATTATCGCTTTTTGTGGGTTGGTATACCGCAAGAGGATAGATCTGATCGCCATTGATGTAATAAGAACCAAATTTGTTTTCTTGGGATAATATGAAATATATTAAAGCTCGGCCTGGCCTAGTAGATGCAACCCGATGTGCGGGTGGCTAAGATCGAGGACCGCTTCCCTGTGTAGTGGCTGTCTTATAACCTCAACCACTCTACTTGCTCTTTAAGCCACTCATGAAACTACTGCTCGGCTAACTAAGATTCATAATTTATTATCTCCCCTGCCAACACTGGCCACCCTGGTAGCCGTTATTTCTTGTTTTAGCAAGGGCTAACGGTATGCAACATAGAATTAGGCCTATTAAGAAACAGATGATGTGATCAGGTTATACTTTAAAACTTTGTTATTCCTTTTTTTTGTTGGGAAGTAGTAAATTTTAGTAGTACGGCAAAGCTTATCATTTACAATTGGAGCGTGGATAAACTACGATTATAAGCCCTAATGTTATAAGCCACACTAGGTAGCAAAATTAAATACTGTTTTACTTATGAAAAATAAATTGGAACCCGACAACAATTTCAAGGCTGTTTGGTTATAGATTGTTGGAAAGCCGAGTAGCAGCTAGCGCAAAAAGCAAGAATTCCTGGTTACTTGTGTACACATACAAATAGAAATACAATTCTGATTGTAATTTGTGCTGCTATTTTAGTTTCATTTTAATACGCTGAAGTCATTGAAAATTTTAGAGGTAGAAGGCATCTTCGACACCATTAAGTATATATATTCTTAATTAACACTATTGGCGGGTCAATCTGTTCTAAGCTTTTTTCAAGCAATAGATGCAAACCGATAACGAAATCCTGAATTGAGAATATCTTTTAGGTCATAATAGCTAGAGTCTCCAAATTTAATATTTATCTTCATTTTTTTTTACTATAGCCTTTATGCTTATGTTTTGTCAGCTCATATGCAACAAGGTCTTAAATGCTGCCGTTGTGTACCCGGTGACACCGCCAATGGCATCAGCAATTTACTGTTGTCTCGTTGGAGACATGTTGGGACTCGGGCATGCACATTTTATGCTACCAATTTGCTGATTTTACGCTTCTCTTGTCTCCTTCTCAAATACCGTTTGAGGAGGGCAAGGCCTCTGACGATATCACCGCTTATTAGCGCTTGGAAAAATACCCCTTAGGTACGGAGTTCGTTAACGCGTCGGCCTTAACCTCCTGTGTAAACTCAAATTATTGCAGGAATGGTATAGTCAGATAATCGTTTTTGCCGGGTATGCTTAATAAGGGGGTCGTCACTACTCCGTGACTCGACTCCGTACGTTGTTACTATTTACGAACTCAATACCGTTGGTAAGGGCGAAACAGTGACGGAGGGGGCTCACCAACCAAAACATATCTCCAATCTTTCTGATCCAAAATAACCGGGCTTATGTGATGATGATGATGATAAATTATGAATAAAAACACCAAAATGGCCTATTTTAGATTGACCTTGTGGACACCCTCCACTCCCTGTTTAATTAGGATTAATGTTCCCAGATCGGTTTTTACACTTACATCGACGCATAAAGTGCTAGCTTATTACCGAATCTTTTATTGGTCTCGATCAAAACTCGTGGACTTCGAAGACCCTGTCTGGTCTTTTTGATTACAGAGACTTACCCTTTAAAAACTGATGAGGTTAGTCGGACTCGTGGAATGCTTCCTTACTAGTGCAAGGAGCGATGTGGTCTACCCTTTGCCGTCCTTTTGGAAGCTTTCCCATTTCTCGGGACTTATAAAATACCTTCATGTAGGCAACGGGGGCTCTGCGTACTTAGGGTTTTTACCCGCCTCCAGGCAGGTGGCTAAACAGGTAACATACGTCACCCTTGAATTGAAAAAAAGAAAACGGAAAAATACTTTAAATGCTTTAAGAGACAGATAACAAAACTTGGTGTGTATATCTTAACATATTTTACCTTTTGGTTACCTCTACCCTTCCCCGCAAAACTGATAAGAACTTCGTTTCAAAGCTAGAGCCATTTGCAAAGCGCACATACAGTGAGGATTTAATAAGGAACAAAATATTATTATTGGTGATATTCAAGGCAAGGTATCAGGTTAACAGGAGGACATATTCCAAGATAGCTAGAAGCAGAATCTTGGCAAGGGTTCTTCCTACCTGGAATGCAGACTTTTTGTAGTCTAGAATAGACAATTTTAAAAAATGTCATCACCCGGTGACCACATTAATAATGTTAAAGAGAAAGAAGCTATATTGTCTACACTACATGATGATCCAGTCCAAGGAGGTCACGCAGACATTGCAAAAACCTTGGCCAAGGTCAAAAGACATTATTACTGGAAAGGTATGACTCGTGATATACTTATACTCGTACTTGAGAATAAATGATTCTAATATTGCTGTTGCAACAGTTGCTGCGTTTTTACTTGCGACAGGTATAGCACTTGATAAATTTAGTCAAGTCACATATGAGCGTGACTGCATATTCATTGCCTTGTTCTGATTTTGGTAGTGGACCAATTGTATCCACTATCACTCTGTCGAAAGCCTTTATCGGGGTTTCAGTAACTGTTAAAGGGGTCTTAATATTTGTTGTTATTTTTGCTTTTTGACTTTTCTGGATGTACTCTGTTATATCACGAGTCATACCTTTCCAGTAATAATGTCTTTTGACCTTGGCCAAGGTTTTTGCAATGTCTGCGTGACCTCCTTGGACTGGATCATCATGTAGTGTAGACAATATAGCTTCTTTCTCTTTAACATTATTAATGTGGTCACCGGGTTGAGTAGCGCTACTCTCAATGTGTTCAATATTTTACTGCCAATAATTTTGAAATTATCTATTGAAGCTTCTTCAAAGATATTTTCCCACGGTGCCATTTTCAATTGGCTGATTTTTAATATACCGGCTTCTTTATCGAGCTTTGGAAATAGTTGTCCTAAGTCAATATTTCCATTATAAGTATATAAATCTTCAATATCAATTCTTGCTATAATTTTCTTACCATAATTAAAGAAACATAGCATATCATTTATATGCAAGGTCACTACTTTACGTACTTCATCATTATTAATGACTTCGTATACGTTGGGCTGAGAAGCTGTTTCGGTATATTGCCTTGGCATCGCTACTTTATTATTTTCTGCGCAGAAATTTTGTCTACTTTGATACCTGGTAGTGACTTTCAGGACTTTATTTTGTATGTCTTTTAGTTCGGATATTGTTATACGTGACAATGCATCGGCTACAAAATTATCTTTGCCTCTTAGGTACTCTACTGTAAAATTATACTCCCCTAATTCAAGTCTCATTCGCGTTAATTTGGAACTGGGGTTTGTCATTGAAAACAAAATGTTAGTAACCTATGGTGTGTTTTTACTATGAAATGAGTTCCGTAGATATAGGTCTAAATTTGGTGATTGCCCAATAAATAGCTGTTAACTCTTGTTCCGTCGTACTCTTGTTACTTTCTCCTTTGGTAAATGCTCTCGATACGTAAGCTACTGAAAGTTGAGTTCCATTGTGGGCTTGTGTTAGCACTGCACCACAGGCTTGCTTACTAGCATCTGTGATTATACAAAATTCTTTTGTAATATCTGGATATTGTAACAGGGTAGGCTTCATTAATTGAGCTTTAAGATATTCAAAAGCATTTTGACATTCATCAGTCCATTTAAATGGAACATTCTTCTTATTTCAACTTGTTATATGCCTAGAATAATCGTCAAAATTTTTGATGAATCGTCTGTAGTAATAACAAAATGCTTTAAAACGTCTAGCGCTATCAGAGTCATGTGGAACAGGATAGTTTAATATGACATCAAACTTTTTGTCATCTGGCAAGATTCTCTATCCGTGCATTTGTGTCCCAAAAATGTGACTTCGTGCATGAAAATTAAACATTTTTCAGAATGTAACTTCAAGTTGTGTTTCCTACACATGTCAAAAACACCAATTAAATTATTAAGCATGTGTTTTTCGGAGCTACCGATTACTATTAGGTCATCCATATAAAGGATTGCTTGTGATGGTTCCAGTCCACAGAATGCAATAGTCATCATTCGTTGAAATGAATTTGGCGCTTTTTTCAAACCAAATGGCAATCGCGTGAAGCGATAAGAGCCATTGCTCGTTGAAAAGGATGTTATATCTCTAGAGTTTTCGTCTAGCTCAATCTGATAAAATCCTGACTAAGTCAAGGCAAGAGAAATATTTTGCTCTACCTAGTTTATCTAAGATATCATCGATCCTAGGAAGTGGAAAGTTTTTATTAATTTGACGATAGTCAATTACTAATCGCCATTTTTTCTTTCCGTTATCTATGGATTTCTTTGGTACTAGTAACAGTGGACTGTTGTATTCTGAGGCTGAAGGTTCAACTATTCTATCTTTAATTAGTTTATCAACTTGAGCTTGAATTTCGTCTTTTTGACTATGAGGATTTCTATAATTTTTTATATGTATATACAGGTTCATCATCTTTTAATCTAAATTTCTGCTTATAAAAATTATTGGTTGTTATTGATTCGGTATCAAGTCCGAATATGTCTGTGTATTTACAACAAAGTTTTGTTTAATTGTTTTTTAAATAGTTTTGGAAAATTTACTTTGTTTTACTAAGTTTACTTTGACATAACATCGTTCGTTCTAGTTTCATTGTTTATTTCGGATATATCATAATTTGCTAATGGTTCATAATTCAACTTATTTATATTAATCATTTGATCGGTACTAGTTGTATTTAGTAAACGGACGAATGCATTTGCAGTTGTTACGACTGTGTTTGCTGCATATATACCAGGTTAAATTTCCTTGTTCGGAATTAAAATGCTATCTTAATTTGAAGTTAACTCAATTTTTCGGACAACCTCGGATCTTGCTGGTAACACTATTGTATTGTTACTAGAGCTGTAATTTATGGGAACATATAAAGGATAGTTCAGATATTCTGGTCTTATTATAAGCAGATCTTTTGAAGGTGTGAAATCTAGTTGACAATTATATATTTTAATAAAATTTATTCCTAAAATTACCTCACACGGTATAAAAAAAGTTGATTCGACAATATGGAAGTTGTATGGAATTATATATTTAGTTGTTTGTCTTTCAGTCCTTTAGATTGAATTAATCCTTGATTGATTCTCTGAATATTTATTTTGTTGTCCATGTTTATATCATTAAAAGTGTCTGGGTTGTCTTTTAACAGAGATATGTCTGCACCAGTATCTATCAAAAATAATAATTTCTTGCCTGTAGCTACGTTTGTGAATGTTACGAATATATTTACACTAAGATTAATCGAATGAACCTTTTTACTGTCTATTGCTGTGTACCTAAGGGCTGTTGTGAGTTTTCCGAAGCATTCGGTTCGGTCTATATCTTTGTGGCTACGCAGCATATAGGACTGTATTTGGGTGTCCTACTGTGTTTGTGCAACTATCGACGAACACAGTTGTAATCCCACTCATTGTATTGAAATTTCGTAATTTCATTACAGACCTAACTTCGTCAATTATGCTGTTATGATTGATGTTACAGCAACTTGTAGGCTCAGTTCTTCGGCATATTCTTGCGATACACCGTTAATCATATGTGCTGATTGCAAAGCCCATGTCAACTGTTCAACTTCTTGAATATATTGACTTGCTGTCTTTTGCTTTTGCAGCAGATTGAACAATTTAGCGGATAATGCTTTAGCTTTAACTCTGGTTCAGACTTAGATAGTTCGGCTAGTGTGATTACAGCTGGTATCGTAAGATCGCTTAGATCTTCTTCTTTTATATGCTTATCTGAACCGCTTGCGATTTCAGATTCGCTTACTGTCTCTACGTCTGTGTTTGTTTCTTCCTCGACTAATCCTGAAGTATTCAAAATCGAAGGTATAGTTATGTCTAGCGAATATTTTGATTTAACGCTATTTATACCCTGAACCCATTAAAAATGGGTACAAGGGTATATTGTATTTGTGCGAAATGTATGTAACAAATGTATGTAACAGGCAGAAGAAAGCATCTCCGACCCCATAAAGTATATTCTTGATCAGCATCAAAAGCCGAGTCGATCTAGCCATGTCCGTCTGTCTGTCGGTCCGTCCGTCCGTCCGTCCGTCCGTCCGTCCATCCGTATGTATTGAAATTTTAGATGTAGGTGCTCCTAGTTCCCGGGCAGATCGAGTTTATTTCCGATAATCGATAATTTACTCCGTTTCCAAGCAATCGATAAAAATCGATATCGATATTCTGTTTTTGGGCAATTTTGGTAAATAATAAGAGCTAGAGTCACCAAACTTGACATATAGCTTCTAAAATAAAATATATACATGCATTTGATATTGGAAGAAGAGGTTTCAGGCTATCCCCTAGTCGGAAGCTCCCGACTAGAACCTCTTACTTGTTTTTATATAGTATAAATGAAAATAATGTACAATTGAGCGACATACCCTGAACCCATTAATAATGGGTATAGGGGTAGAAGGCAGAAGGAAGCATCTCCGACCCCATAAAGTATATATATTCTTGATCAGCATCAATAGCCAAGTCGATCTAGCCCTGTCCGTCTGTCTGTCCGTCCGTTCATCCGTCCGTCCGTATGTATGAAAGCAAGGATCTCAGAACCTATAAGAGATAGACACTTGAAATTTTAGATATAGGTGCCTGCGCAGATTGAGTTTGTTTCTGATAATCGATAACTTACTCCGTTTTGAAGAAATCGATATCGATATCCTGTTTTTTGGGCAATTTTGGTAAATAATAAGAGCTAGAGTCACCAAACTTAATATATAGCTTCTAAAATAGAATATATATATGCATTTGATGTTGGAAGAAGAGGGTCTAGGGTATCCCCTAGTCGGGAGCTCCCGACTAGAACCTCTTACTTGTTTAAAATTATTTTTATTATTGCTATACAAACCACTAGTTGCATTTGGGGTTGGTAGAAGGGTGTCCCTTTACTGGTTTGGCTTGTAGAGCGAGCTGCTTCTGTTTTTGGTAGAAGAAGATTCTTATTTTTTTCTTTGGAGAAGCAGATGTGAAAATTATCTCCCCGGTTACGGAATATTATATCAGGTAATGCGTACCATTTAATCTAATGCACCGGCTAGCTATTAAGTAACAGAGCGTATAGTGATTCTTATGGGTTGACAACAGGATAAAGAGATTTGTAACGGTCTTTTTGGTAACATCACTGCTATTGATGTGCA